TTCGGCGGCCACACGTCACCGACAGAGGACTTCCTGAAATGGAGAAGTGGCCGCCTCTCTGGAAAGGGACCGGGAAAGAGCCGCAGGGACTGTCCTCATTCATGAGCTTCCTGGATCCTGCAAACACTCCGGAGAGCGGCACTTGCCCAATGAAAGCTCAGGGCTGCTGGGGAAGACCTGCCTTCCAGGTCTTGCCCCTGAGCCTGAACAAGCAACAAGCCCCCTCCCAGGCTACACAGGGACCCTGATTTACAAGCTTTAGCATGGGGCTGCCTCTGTGCTTGCTCAGGGGTGCTGGCAGAGGCCAGGAAGAAGTTTCCCCCAGGGTCCAACTTCCAACTGCCAGGGGAAGCTCCCTTCTCCAGCCACCATCCCCTCTGCAGAGAGGCGAAGCCAGGCAGGGCACCTAGAGCACGAATGGACACACATCAGGACAGACACAGGGACAGCAGACACCAGGACAAACGAGATTCCCATGGAAAAGAGGAAGCAGCGTTCTGAGCGGACCAAGCTGAAGATCAGCCCAAGACGGCCGTAAAACAGGGTGCCCGACGGTCCAGCCAGCCAGACCCTGGAGGCCAGTGGGAGTAGCCTGCAAGAGGACCCCGGAAGTGTAAAATTAAAGTCGGTGACGGGCACAGATGGGGGGCCAGACAGCTGAGGTCACTCTGAACAGCCAGCCAGACAGCAGGGGGCTGCCGGGTGAGACTGGACAGATGGACAGCCAAATGGTGGTGGGACAGATGCCTGTCCACGACAGAGCGACAGCCAAGCAGACGGCCGGGGACAGCTCCGGATAAAAGAACAGCCAGCCACACGGCAGGGGTCAACCCCATAGAAGGCTAGGTGACAGGTCCCACCCTGCAGGAGGGGTCTCCCCCTGGCCCACGGGCAAGCAGATGGCGGGGTTCACCCGGGAAAGCCCGGGCCAGAGACGGCGGGGGTCCGCTGCACATCCGCCCCACGCCCCCGACCGTGTGGAGACCGCCCCCTCCCCCGAGCCCTGTGCCCAGGGCGCCCCGCAGGGCCCGCCTCCTGGTCCCCGTCCCGGTCGCCCGCACGCAAGCGCCGCAGTT